CTTTTCTTTCGTTTGTTACGTGACACTTGAAATTCTTTGTAGAGATTTTGCAGTGGAGTAAATAATAGGAAATCTTTAGAATTCTTTTCTTTAGGGGATGTGGAAATTTAAATAATGAGTATTTAGAATGGAGTAATTTTACATGAGGAAAATTTATTTTCGAATAAAATACGTGTAGAAATTCTTAAATCTTAGTATCACTTATTTTCACTTCTTTCTTATCGCTGATTGGCTTTATCAGTATGGTTTTTCAAAATAGTTTAATAAGAAGTAGGTTATTGCAAGTACGAATAATTAATAATAGGCAGACGCAATATTACACTAAATCAGTTGATCTAACAGGGCACGGCAGGACAAAAGAATTAAAGATACGGTGTCATGGCCTGGGTCAGACAGTAAAATTAATGTTGAAACCGAATGCTCGTAAATTGTGGTTTAAGTTGGGACATGAAAAGTGTTATGGAGAACTGTGAGCGACATAAACAGCTTTAAGTCGTAAAACGGAAAGAGGTCTCGACTTCGTCACGCAACAAAGCCAGCTTAATGAATGTGAAAAGATGATGGGCATCCATTTTTGTATCATTACGAGCATCATTGTTTAATTATATACGGTACTCCTTCTATTTGACGAAGCAAAATGAAAGATCTAAACAATAGAATCACTAAATAATCAATTGATAAAAATGAAACTTCCGAATAGAAATCGTTAGTCACTGAAGCATAGAAAAATTGGGCTCTTGATCACAATAAAATCGTTTGTATTGTTAAAAAATTAAATATATAATGTAATATCTGTAATGTCGATTTATATATTTTGTAAAGAACTATACTTAAAATATTGTAGATGTTGCGATCACTTTTTTTTTCTTTTTAACCCTTAGCATTCCAGGTTGTTTTGTAATCTATCAGAAATTGTAAACTAATTTTTATAGTATTCCTAGCTAGAAAATGAGAAATGCTATAACATTTCTTCGATCATTTATTTTTCTTAGTACAAAATTTGGGTATGTGGAAAATCTAATAATTTTAGGGTAGTTTCTTTAAGATTCATTGAAATGTTTAATATTCTAACTGGTGCAATATTGAAGCCTACAGAGTTCAAAGGGTTAAATCTATAACGAATGTTTGCAAAAGCTATTAAAAATTATTAAAAATTGTGCGGAATGTTAAATATTTCTGAAAAAATATTAGTATGATTCCTCTTCTTTGGACTTGCAAATATTTTACGTTGACTTTATTTCATTTATTACTAAAATACTAAAAATGAATGACTCATTGATAACTAATATTCTATTATAATTAGAGTTACTTTAAATATTGACTTACTTTACCGGAAAAAGACTAGAAACTTTGATAAAAAATGCAAAAATAAAGAAATCTTTGCGTTTTGGAATTAATTTCCAATTTACATGTAAATTTATATGTAATCACATACTTCCTGGAAGAAATGGTACCGTTTTGTCCTTTTATGCGTTACAAAACAGTTAGTTAAAATGAACATTATAAAAAATTGAATTCAGTTCTGTTACGTTTTCCAGACTACATTTTTAACGAATTGCAACATTGCATGCTTGCAGAGACATCCCGAAGGTGTTGCACAGGTGACATTCCGTGAACCAGCCGAAGCTCAGGCTTGCGTCCAGTTGTTGAACGGCCGTTGGTTCAGTCAGAGAAAAATATCTGCTGAAATCTGGGACGGTAAAACGAGATACAAGTAAGTTACCGGCTGCTTTCTTTCCTTATCGACGCGTTTACTGTTGTAGTCGATAAATAATCCATGAGGATAACGTAGATTTCTTCCATAGTCGCGTAATTTTAAAGCCAAGGCACAAGAATAAATTGTACACCATATGGATCTTACATTCTATGATGATCAGATTCAGAATTGTTATACGGGATTTGTTAGTCAACCTTGTTACCATAAGTAGATTTCTATATTACCTACTTTGACTTATACATTTCTTAAAATTACAATAAAAATTCTATTAAAATGCATATCTTTTTTGTCATATATAAACAATTATTTTCTTTTCATCTTTTTCTTTTCATCACAAATGTGTATAACATATAGTATATATAATATACAATGTTATAATTGACACTATAAATTTACTAATCATTGAAAAGTAAAGATTTACTCAAATAGAAATCATTATCATCTAAAAACTGAAAATAAATGAACAATCATTTTCATACCAATTTCTTTTTTGTTTCAGAATCACTGAAACTGACGCCGAGATTGAAGCCCGAATTGCTAAGTGGGACAAATATTTAGACGGCGAAGACGAAGAGAAGGAAGGCGGATCGGGAAAGAAGAAGAAAGACGAAAGTAAACAAGGAAAGGAAAAGGTGGAATCGAACTTTTCAAAGGAACCTCGGACGATAAAGAAATCGGAAAGCCTGGAACCAGAACGACCTCAAGAATATGTAAAAACGCCTGTATCGGCAGTGCCATCCTCCGAAAGTTCAAATCAGGCAACCATACAAAATGAATAAAAATAAAACAAAGTACTTTTAAGCGACAGTAACTAAGAGTGACACTGACGATCACACTTAGGAGTATTTTTTCCAGATTACAAGGTAACTGCTTGTATCTATTGTTGTTGATCATCCCAATACATATTGTGGAATTAGTTACGTCGTAACATTGTCGTTGCTCGATCAAAATAAAGAAAAAGATTTTGCTTGTAATTCCCGGTTGAATTATTTCTCCATGTATTCCACTGTAATTTTACAAATAATTTCATTTTGCGGTGATAATAATTTTCATTGCTTACAGAACACATTTATTAACTGACACGGAAAATATATATAGCATTTTCTTATTTAATACCTTTTTTCTATCATTTCAGTATTTTTTTGGTAATTTTTTTTGTAAGTACATTATGCATTTTTATATTTCTTTTTAATTTTTAATGATCCGATTTCTTTGATGTTCCAGCTTTTTTATTTATCAATCAGTTCATGTATTGAAAGACGAACAATCCTTAGTACGTTTATTGCACAATGCTTAAACAGGTATTTGTTAAGTACAACACATTGTAAAATATAGTAAGTTTATTCATATTTATATGAACATTAAGAGTGACTGTATTTACTTTAATTAATCTTTTGTCTGTTAAATTTGTAAATAGAAAAACGATAAATATTTTCTTCTAGTAATGAATGGGTACATTAATTTATTTACTGGTTGATAAATAAAAGAAAATAAAGTTACTTAAAAGACTACATTACAAATTCTTATTAGAATCCCTATTTTTAATCATTTTATTCGGCTTTGTTCATAAGATATACAGAATAATTAAATAAAACTTCTAAGAAGATCAAACGGTGTTTATAAACGCTATATCTTGTCAACATAGTTAAATATTATAACATTCTCTATTGTTTTCAATTACTGAAATAATTCCTGAAACAAGTCCCACATATTATAAATCACTGTATGTACTTCGAAAACAATCATAAAAGTAAACATTATGTTACTTAATTATGTAAGTTATTAATTCTAACAATCATAATTACTAAATTACATAAAAATCACTGAATTTCTGTCACAAGTTTATATATATTAAATTATTTTAAAATTACCTGAAAACTTACGTTATATTTCATATATTGTGTTTTGAAAAGATTTACTATTGCTTCAAATATTAAAGATAGAAACAGATGCTTAAGCGGGTATGCAGTACAATATTTTATCATTTAAAATACACCTCTCTATAACAAACAAAAAAGGACAACAAACATTACCCGAAACGCGTATCAAAATTCTCGACGATACTTCAAAGTTTCAACGCGAATCAACATTTTCGTAATTTATCGAAGTTCTCTAGTAAAATTTCTTTGTTCGTCGGCCATAGTTCACAAACGACCTGCATAATTTTCGTACGGGCGCAGTATTCCCGAGCGAGACACCGAATTCTTTTCGTTTCAAGGGTTTTCATCGTAGAATCGAACCGGTCTTTCCCATCGTCCACCGGTAGCCCTTGGCCGTTCCGCTGTTCGGCACAGAAGAAGAGCCGGCGGAATCGCGTTTTTTGATAGATCAGCCAACAGCCTCTCACGAGAGAAGTCCCACGAACGAGCCCGGCACAAGGATCGCCTGGAATGCCGAAATAGCAAATTAGAGAATTCCAGGAGATCTGTTGTCTCTCTTCTGTTTCTTTCTTCTGGCCTCGTCCCCTCCGCGCTTTTGTCCTCCTCCGCACTTTAGCGTAACGCGGATCCGCTTCTGCCCGGTATCGCGAAACCCTTCCGACAAACTTGATCTGGTAATGATCTATTGTTTCCCGTTGGCTTTAGCGAATTTTCACACCTTCGGTCGGTACATTCGTCTTTAGCTGCCACCACTGGGACGCCATTTGCTGAGAGAGGTCCCCACTCGAGGAATTTCTTTCCCGTTGACAACTAGACGATTGTCTTCTTTTAATTCAAATCGATTTTGATATTTTCATGTTTATATAGATCAAACGTCGATCAAGTGACTGTTGAATTGATATTTTTCTTTTTATCGTGATTATTTCATAGATTAATATTAAGGGCGGAATTTAAACTCTTCTTACAGTGTCATTTTGAGACAGAAGAAATGAATTTAATAAGTATGAAAGGAATAAAAGATTTCATTGGAAACTCTCTTATGAATTGTATTACATTGTACAGTGCAGGAATATGCGTTTGGTATTCCGCTCTCGTTGAAAATTAATTCTTTAAAACGTCCTTCGCGTGCTTCCTTAACACATCGAGGAAAATACTTCAAAGATCCATATTTAACACAGCGGTCGCATAAGTGCATTTGAAATTGAGTCCCCGCGGCGCAATATTTGAATTTATAATAACTAATGCCACAGTTAGTGCATACCTAGAGATATTTAAAGACTATTTATCGATAAAAATTTTCCAGCCTCTTCTTAACGAGAAATTACTTTTTACACTTTGACGAGAACAATTAGGTTACACCTATACATGGTTTACATTAAATATTCTTTCCCACTCATTTCCATTTTCAAGTTTATTATTTTATAAATAACATGTAAAGTGAAAAATATATTTTTAGAGTCTTCTAACAACCAGTGAAACTCTCTACTAGGTTTCATTGAGTAATGAGATAGCTTTTATTGAACAATGACAGGTCAAAGGAAGTCAAACACATTCCACTTTCTTTGAACACTGTAAACTAAATGCTGTTAATTAGGCTTTGGATACATGGGGTATTCGAAAATTGTTTTCTAAAGAATTTTAAGGAATTCAATAGAACACAATCTTCTCAGAAAGATATAAAATTCAAGACTGTTGACAATTATTAACCTTTCAGCAAAACTGATAGAATCTTCCACTGTACAATTACATTAAATTAGACTATAATATGCATAGCTATCGATGACAGAGACAGAATTGAGCCACTATAGTGGCGTGCCGTTCAAAAGGATGATATACACGAAAGTCATTATAGTGGCGTATAATTGCTAAAAGATTAAGAATTAATGCGATTCAAGATATATTGATGCTGGTAATAATTTCAATCGATTTCTCTTAAATAGTGTATCACACACTCGTTTCTCTAGTTCATGCTCACTTTATTTACGCGAGTCTCTTTTTTGCGCGTAGTTTTTATGATCTAAATTTAGCGACACCGAATGAAATGTATTTTTGTTTTCTGAAATGTCATTATTATTATTTCTTCTGTTTGGCTATGTGAAATAAATATATAATTCTAAAACATATACCAGCTTTTCTTTCCAATATTTTGTTTTCTCTTGTACCGACAGACTACGCACTTATCTAAAAACAGACATTGATTTCAATTACGAATGATTCCTTTTTGTCTTCTATATACTCTTTACTATTATTAAATTACGCAATTTATATTAAACTTAAAATTCTTCTAATATTCATAACATTTCCATTATCCGAAATTTTTTCTATAAAAATCCTGTTACTCCACACAATACTTCCACCGAAAAAATCTTATAAAAAAGTAGCTAGCTTAGTTTCAAACGTCTTAACGATATTTAAAAACGAACGTAGTAATTACAACCACATTTATCTCACATTACCCATCTTCCACAAACATCTGCACTTTAATAAACATCTGCAGTTTACCCATGACACACGTTAGCAAAAGCATTTATTAATATCCGAATTCCCACTTAGAACTCATTGAATCTTCCTCTCATCGTGATCCAAAATTACGTCAGTTATTACAACGCCGATTGCACATCTATAGTCACCATAGAGGAGCATCCTCATGAAGGACCTTTCAAAGGGCTAACACGAAAAACGTGCACCCTGTTCAACAGATCCATCGTCCATTTCTCTCTTACACTCTATTTTTCTCCGTTTTTCTCGCTCTGATCTTCCTCTATCTCTTTCCCTCCTGTCTTTCTGTTCTTTCTCTCTTCTCCCTTCTTCAGTATCTCTCCCTCGTGTTCTCTATTTTCTCTCTCTCTCATACCCTATCATTGTTTAGCTACTATTTGTCCGGGTGCACGCATCCCTCCGGGGTGAATCGCAAGGAAGCATATTTCAGACGTCCCGGTCCCATTCAAGGGAGCGAACCAGAAGGGGGACGGCGACCTCGTTCAGCAATATCACCGACAAATTTAATGCCCGACTATTAGCAGCGGGGGTGCACCTCCCGCATTGTCGAGTGGCCACGTGCAGGATGACTGTTCCTCGCGCACCGTGATGGGCGAAAAACGGTTTGATCGGGCGAGCCCGGCCCCGTCGATCGTTCGCTAGCCTCTATGGGGATCGTTCAACGGTGAACCCCAGGCGGACGGGATTCGGAGGGAAGAGAAGAAAAAAAAGAGGCCTCGCGCCCCGTGTCACACTTGTCGAGGGTTATTGGATTTAGCCGACGCCGCGGGGCGTCCTTCACGGACCTGCCGCGTTACACGCGAGATTAGGCGCCGGCTAGGACGCGATTCGCCATGGTCAAGTGTCTGGAGCTTCCGATGCTGTTTGCTCGTATCATTTTCACGCTGCTCCCTGGGTATAGTGTTGCCATTAGCCCCCAGCTAACCCTGCCGTAGGTCGTTTTTGACCTGTTACTGATGCCTATTGCGAAGATAGTGAAGACTGACGGCGGAGATCCTGAGCATCCCCTATTGAGACTTTTCATTTTGCCACTGGGAGGTGAGCGAGTCTTTGACTGATTCTAACCCTTTGCACTCGGAAGCTTCACACTGAAAACATTTGACACTTTTCGATGAGACGTAGACGACACTATTTGAAAGTAATGAGAAAACGTAAATTAGGAAACAAAGCTGTTTTATATAAATATTTCACGTATTGATGTAGTATACAAAACTTAGTATTGTATATAACACTTTGTAATTTTCGTTAAATCAAATGGTGACTGAGAGTTACCTCTCGAGCAAAGGGCTAATATAGGAATGTGATCGTTTGGTGGTAAATATTGTTTAGTGAAACAAGCTTCTTTTGGATTATTAATGCGATTAGAGTTTTAAATTTTATTAAGTTAAACAGATTTTGAATACCCTTTTTCGGGAGAATTTTAATATCGTTTTGTGTTTCCTTTATGTAATTGTAAGCGAGTTTACTATTAACCCTTAGTATCGTGATCTTTTGATTACGCTTACCAAAATTCCTATTGATCTATTTTCGTCCATATATATGTTGTTTGTAAAAATAAGTAAGAAATCCTTAATGTAACAATTTTTTATTTAAAAGGGCAAATTTCAATGTATCATGGGTGTTATACCATGTAGAAAAATATGTTATTATATTAAACTTAAAAACTTAAAAATGTTACATTTAAAAACTTGAAAAATTTCGTTTTATAAGCGAAAGACTGAAAAATGAGAAATATCCGTTTCACCCCGCATCTGGAGCGAATCGAATATTTTCCATGTTTCAATTCCTTGTTTACAGGAACGAAGATTTTTAAGTTCCTTAACATTTTTTACTGATATTAACACTGAGTGTATTAATAATAAATTCATAAGAACATGTTGATTCTAAGTTTTAACTGTTAATTTGTCGCTGTTCAATCTGAACTGGTTCGATCCGTCTCGGTCTACTCTACCACTATAATAAGCATTTCTAAAATAGTAATACAATCGAGAGAAGAATTATTCAACATAAAAGCTTAAAGATATTATATAATGTAGAAACAAGTTAACGAAGCAGCTCACATTCGATCACATATTCAAGTTTTTACTACGGAAGGGTAACAGCACCAGAATGTAAACATTGGGTCAATTACTTAATATCTTACCGCGAAAGACCGAGACACATATCAATGTGAGAGTGCGTGTGATTATATCATGTACAAGAAAATGGCCCATCTGCTAAAATCCGAGGGCAATGACCTGGGCAAACGTTCGAGAGGATTAAAAAAAGCTGAAGGCAATACCGTCCGACGACGATGGTAACCACGAGCGAACAGAGACGGAGAACATTATAAAGTCGATCGTGTCAACGAAAATAGCGAATAAAGATAGCGATTTAAATATTGTGTAGTATTGTAAAATATACATGAAACTACACCTACAATAATAATTTTAATTTAATTCCTCAGTCCCAAGATAATCCAAACCAGCTAACACGTTTGTTCTTTTCCACTTCAAGCTCGATTACTTGAAAAGCGAACTGACCTATGAGAAAATTCTGTTTCACACTTCCGCTTTACTTCCGATCTACCTTCACTCACTTCCCGGCTATATTCAAACTTCAAAGGCCACCTTTACAAATCAGTCCGACATCCAATGCCGGAAACCACCTGATCCAAACCAATCCACGATCGGCAGCCGGAAGTCTCGGCGCGCGCCGAGATTTCCCGTCGCCTCTGCCTGTAGAAAATTCCACGGAGCATTCGGTAGACCGTTCGTCTCTCCCGCTAGGCTCGCCGGGCGCGGCAAATTAAGCTTCCCAAAACACCACGAAACTGTTAATTAAGACTCATTATGCTCGCGGGCTGGCTGACTGGCTCCGGCCGTCCGGGGTGTTGGGGTTGGAAGTGGTGAAAGGGTGGCGAACCGAGGCCGCGTTCAAAGTCGGACAGAGAACCGTCGAGAACGCGTAGGAGGGAAAAGAAGGAGAAACGCCGGTAGGCGGACGACGACGACGAAGATCAGGAGCAGCAAGAGGAGGAGGAAGAAGAAGAAGAAGACGAAGAAGCGTAGGAGATGGTAGCGTTGCATAGTAGCCCACCGAGAAAGGTGGGAGAGATCGGGTTCGCTAGAATAGGAGGAGAGCGAGAGAGAAGGCGGAAGGAGGGAGACGGTTTAACCCGAGCAGAGAACTTCTTAATACCGCGACGGCAGTCGGGTTCATTGTGGGATCAATACAGAGACGGCCAAGCCGTAGGAGTGGCGCGCGCGGCGGCCTCATTGGACGCGCCGTTCCCGCGCGTTGATTGGCCGCCGTCGGAACTGCCAGGGGGCGGTGCCTCCCGCGCTAGACCCTCTGCCGGGGTGAACGAAAAGGGGGAGGCCAGGCCCTGACCCTCGCCGGGAAGGAGAGAACACGCGGCAAGTGAAAAAGACGGAGAGCAGGCATCACAGCGCGCGCGGGGCTCGGTTGGAAAAAGACGGCGGGCCGGGTCCACGGAGAGGGTGACACGACGCCGGAGGGGTTCAGTCTGTGTTCGCCCATCAGAGACACATCATCAGTCACTATACAGTGTCCGGTGCACGTATCACGCCGCGAGGGTAGTTTGCCTGCCTCCCTAAACGACCAGGTGTCCTGTTGGGCTACCATCGGCCTCTGATCGACCGATCGAACTTGACAGTGCCACGGACGCACCGGACTGCGGAGCCAGTCGATTGGTTCGCGCGTCACGGAAGTTGTGAGGGTTTCGTTCAGTTTTGCGCGGGGAACCGGGGTCTCGATGATTTTCACGTAGAACAGGTGTTTCTTGAGGATCGTTGGGATTTGGAGTGTTTCGGGCCTGATGCCACGTGAGTTTGCGACTGGTCCCTTTTTGGGACTTACAGTGATATCTATGTCTGGACTCGGTGTATGTTAGTTAAACTTTGAGTACACTTGGATTCGCGCTGAATAAGGTGACTCTGGGAGAAGGAATTACCGTGGAAGCTGACGGACATTGCGAAAATGAAGTGCGACATTGCGGAGCTGAAGACCATTTGATCGTTGAGGGACAATATTAAACGAAAGTGACATTTTATTTATAGTTTGAAATACCTGATTTGCGAGTTGTAAGCTGATAGTGTGTCGTGTTGTCATCTTCATCGGAAAGCTAGGAGCTTGGAGTTTGTTGCGCTTGGGCCAGTGTCGAACGTGATCCTTAGTGAACCGATAGACTGTCACTATCGGAATCATACAGTGATTCGAGTCATTGCTACGAACACCAGGATAATTTCCTGTCAAGAAAATAAACAACCGCTCAACTATAGATCCCAGTATTCACCGGCTACCCCTGTGAAATAATCTCCGGTACCGTATCACCGTAAGCTTCCGAGTTCACTGATCGAAGCGGAAATATTATCGCGGTCCGAACGCTTGAGAAACAAAGATTTCAGGCAGATCGTTCGAAGGATTTCAAATCCTTAGGAGGTGGTGAGGTATTTTAAGTTACACGAATTTCGAGTGATCAAGTTGTTCGTTGGTGAATCGCTCGCGGCGAGGATGCGCGATTCAGCTTGACGGGACTCGAGTGACGGATTCTGGTGGTACGCGATTTGAAGGAAAATCGAGCGGGGTCTAGAATAGTTTCGAGCGGAGGGTTGTGAGCCGAGAAGAAGGCGACAGAGAGGCGGAGAGTGGACAGAGAGTGGAAACGAGAAATAGTGTAGTAACGGGTGGTGCGACGTTCGGGTACGCAAGTCGGCAGGCCGGCTCTGGGGTGCCGGGCCCGGGCGGGGTGATGAGCTGTTCCGAGGTGATGTATCAATATTATCCTTACCTCTATCAGAGGCCACCGCCGCCGCCGCACCCGACCCACCCACATGCGGCCCCGCACACCCATCCCCACGCAAATCCGCATGCGGCCCACCACAGCCCGGCCAGGCCGGCGCCTTTTCAATCCTTCTCGGCGGCCACGGCGACGCATCAATACGACAGGGTGAGTGGAATCATTGTTTCTAGTTAACTGACACTGCACTGCGCTTTGTAACTAAACGCCAATCGAGCAAATTCGATTCTCGCGTGTTGTCATTAAGTTTCTGTTAGTTCTGATACGCCTAAATACACGTTGAAGATTGATGGCTTCTCTTCAAGGAGAAATATTGAATGCTCCAAAACTATACGACATTCGATCTGTATTTTGTTAGTTGCATATTGGATTTTAACCTCTTGGTCTACAGTATTGTGTCAGACTTGCGGCGAAAATTTAGAACTGAATTTGACAAATCTGTGTTATTTCGTTTTTCGAAATATCAATTAAATATTACTTTTCTGTCATGAATCGTTAAGCTTGTTTTATTATGTTTTAACATTTGCCCTTCTGGTAATAAATTATTAACGATAAAGTAGCTAGGAGTACTTTCTTTTTTAAATTTCAAAATACCACGTGGAGGTTATTCGAATGAGGGTTGTGTTCAATTTTAATGAAGAAGTCAACTAGTTCTGATTAAGATAAAAAGGAAACGCTCAGAAGGAACTTTTTATTCACTCCGAGTGGAGAACCAAGTGTTACTGTAAATAATTTTATCATGTGTTGTTCCACACAGTACAGAAATGTCAGTCGTTGTTTATGCATAAATAGAAACTGATAAGGCTCCATGTGTTAAAGAATGTTTCATTTTTGAATACATTACTCTTAAGCTTTGTATAAATGATCTCTATTGTCTAGTGACAGAGATGTAATTTGTATATTCTCGACGGTAATCATTGCCAAAGCGGACCAGGAAAATCTTCGTAAATAAACAAAATATTTTTGGAAATAAATTTTCGATAATGACAGCCTGATGGATTTAAGGCATTTTGCGACGGTGGTATGTTACCGCTAGCTTTCTCAACACGAAAGAATAGCTAGAAATACACTGGGATATTAAAAGATCACTTAGCGCCGTTTATGGAGAAAAGCGATCGAATCAACTGGACTTTCCAACAAGAAAACGTTGCCATCCACACCTGCCATGCAACTGTAAGATGGTTTCGAAATCAAGAAGTCAATGTTGTAGTACGGTCGCCATACTATCATGATCAGAATCTTATGGAAAACATGTGGTGCATTACGTTTGAACAAATATAAATTGTATAAATAAACGATAAGACTAATAAATAATACAAGAACGTAGCGAAATTAAATTGTAATTAAGATAGCATAAAATGTGATGAAGTCCATTCCGAAGAAAATATTTACTTAAATTAATTGAAATCAAATAAAGATCTACGTACTCTTAAATTAAGAAAATTATAAGCTTTGAACACATTTTGAACTCAGTTTTATGTTGAACGAAGTGTCTGTATACTGGTTTTAGAAGAACGAAACAGAATGGAAAGAAAAATACACATCTATTTTCATGTAATACCGTTTCCAGTTCAATTCTGTTGTAAGACATAAACCACAAAAAGTTCATATTGGAGTTATAGTTATGAAACGCAGTGCATAGAATTTCAAATAAACGGATACACTCTCGTCCATAAATCAGTGGGTACACATTAGAGAATGTGGAACAGAACTGAAACGATCTCATAACACTTTATTAATGGTGAAATGCTAGAAGATTAAGTAGAGTTAGTAGATAAATCCACTGCATCGCGAAGAAAATGAAACTCTTCAATTCAATATTAAAATTTGTTTATCCCGAAATGTAGGTACATTTCCTTAGAAAACACAAAATAGGTACTTATTTATATTAATTTAATACAACCACGATATAGAAACGATTGCACATTTTAGGCTTTCTTCCATTAAAAAAACAAAATAACCCTTATAAACTATATACGTGATAATTCATTTTAAAAGGTGACAATGGATAAAATAGAATTTTATAACCGTCATCAATTGTTCTTAAATAAACAAATTCGTATGGATAAATACTTTTTCTAAACAAACGATTTTGTCAATTCAGCCATTCAATTCGCCAAAGTGGTTAACTGCGTAAACTAAAAAATAGAAAATAGAAAAATTTGATGAGGTTATATGTATAAAGAACGAATTAAATTTTTAGCAGCAGTCAAATTTAAAAATATTAAAAAATGAGGGGAATTAATGATCTCGATTTATGTCTGATTATTCTTTAACTCTCCGACGGCGGCGCCTGGGTCTTTACTGACCCAGATTTTAAGAGACTTCATTAACTTTTCACTTGTTAACTGCTGACTGTGATTGATAACTGATTAAACTAGCTCTAATAATAAAATAATCAATGTATCTCGTATACATACAGTTGAAAACATGTTTGGAAAGATTCCTAAGTTAGAATTTGACTAGTTCTGGTCATGGCCGCCTGTAAAATCACTGAAAATCATCGTCTAAGTATTAACACTAAACTTATATTTTTCCATTAATCAATACTTCAATTCTTTTCTTTTTTCTCGTTTTGAATTTTTAAAAATGAAACCAAAGCATAATTCCCTTCTTCTTCTAACCTCTTGCCCTATAATTCATTTCTCGACTATGGTCGATGCAACTACTTTGCCAGTAGTAGTTTATTACAAAAAGAGAAAAATTGTAGGGATATCCGACGTCTACGTTTACTCTAAACTATAATTATTGATAACAAAGGAATAATACTTTGAATTCAAAAGAATCAAGTAATGTTTATCCTTATTAAAGTCACTTTAAAATCTTCAACAGTCTGACACATTGTTATGAGGCAAGAAGTTAAAACAGTTTCCCACCTAGTGATCCATTTCTCAGATCTATTTTTCAATTCACTTAATACATAAAGTGTCGGTACGTTTGATATTAACCCTTTCAACTCTGTTAGCTCCAATATTGCACCAGTTAGAATATTAAATATTTTAATGAATATCAATGAAACTACCCTGAAATTATTCGATTTTCACATTCGAATTTTGTACTAAGAAGGAAAATAAAAGATCGCAGAAATGTTATATTTCTCATTTTCGCTGGAAATACTATAAAATTTAGTTGGAGTTGCTGATAGATCACAAAACAGCCCGGAGTGCTAAGAGTTAAAACCGAAGAATTTTGGGCACCGGCGCCCGTCGACGAAGTCAGTTAGCACGATGGCCATCGTCATGGTCCTTTTAGAGGCGGGTCGCGTTCAAACACGGCCGGCTTGTAATCTCGGGACGAGACAAGCTCGTGCGATACACCAGCCGTATGACAGCACGTAAAGGTTATGAATAATGTGTCGGGAACAGGATCCTGACGAGCCGTTGACATCTAAATTTTCGACGATCGAGCAGACGTGTCTGTTCCTTTCGTCGTTGAACCGCTTTCGATCGCCGGACGTGTTCACCGCGTAATCGTTCCCCCGATCCACGAGGACGGCCGTGTTCCGTCCCGATCGAGTTTTTTTCGCTTGGGGAACATCGGTTCCTTGAAACAATGGCTGCCGGAGATCATGCTAACGATTGCCCGGGCAACAGTCGCTTATCCCAGAAACTCTCTCGAACGAAATAGAATTATTTTCTTAGTGAGTTTGTTGATTTAATATATAGTAATTACACTGAGGATCTACATGCAAATTCAAATTTTATCGAATATAATTGAAACTCAAGAAACTCTCTCGAATAGAATAGAATTATTTTCTTAGTGAGTTTGTTGATTTAATATATAGTAATTACACTGAGGATCTACATGCAAATTCAAATTTTATCGAATATAATTGAAAGAAACTCAAGAAACTCTCTCGAATGGAATAGAATTATTTTCTTAGTGAGTTTGTTGATTTAATATATATTATTGCGGATCTACATGCAAATTTAAATTTTATCGAATATAATTGGAAAATAGAATGACGACAGATAAAGGTTCTCCCTAGTAAATGTTATAAAACATACTGCACTTCGAATGTTCTTTGTTTTTCGTATCGTGCACATTCTGTGTAATTTCACATTACTTGTTCGAGCCGGTACGAACGTATTTACTTGCGTTCGAGTTGTTAACCAGGCACAACGAGCATTGGCCCGTTGGAAAAACCTAGAAATTTCGGTAAGCCACGAGCAATGACTCACGGGAGTTAGAAACGTCGCACAGAGGTGCCTTTCGACGAAGAGTTGGCCAAAATTCATACTTTCATAAGATTTTTATAGAAATTGGTATACTCATGTTTTTGGAATTGCTAAATCTGAATATTTTATCAAAAATACAAAATGCAAAATGACAGATCTAACATCAGTGATATCGTAAGCATCGTAAACTGGAATTTGGAAATTAAAGGAATATTTATTATTGAAGTGACATATTAAATTTGAAAAGATATTTTTTTGTTGTAATTGATGAGTATCATTTTTGGGACTATGAGTTTCAATTTCTCCAAATTTGTGACGTTTATCTGCAAAAATTGAATGAAATCTGAATATTATTTTTCTTATATTTTATTGTACTTTAACTTTAGCTTTTTATTGTGAAGTTTTATTAATTATACAGTTTTCATTTGTCTTTAGTTTTTGTAGGATATATCGGATAGGATAATTAATACCTGCATAAACCTCTATAATCCATGAAATTGACTGTCATTTATGGAACACGGAACTATTAATTTCAGTTATAATACGGTGGCAATAAAAATGTAAATCCAGACCTCAGATTTTTTAATTAATATCTTTGTTTTTAGTAGGCTTGTAATATAAAATTCACTTTTATAGTAAGTTTAAACACCTCTTAATGTCCAAGTTCCTTTAACATAACCTTTACTTTAAGTTCGAATTGAGATTTTATATCTAATTTATACAGTAATGCAACACGAATATTTATTATCCTCGTTAAAAAATCGTGAAGCACGCCATTATTAGCCTTGCCGACTAAAATATTAAATACAACAATCCTCCGCGATAGTGGTAATACTTCGCGAGCTTAGAGGAAGAAGTCGGTATATCACTAAACTGAGGCAGAGAATTCATTTAGATAAGAAAAGCATTTTAATTATTCGTACCACTCCGTTCGTTAAATCCGTTTAACAGGAAGGGGTTTATAATATAAGA